AGTTGGAGAAATTTGGGCCTAAACCACGCACGTGAGAAGCTTCTGGTAAAGAAACGCCCTGTTCACGAGCCACACTCCTGAGCACAGTATCGAACGTGTTCCTTCTAGATCCGTCTCTTCCTTTTAGGTTTCCCGACTAAAATTCGGCGTGTATCTCTCATTTCTCCACCCGCATTATCCACGGTTTTCCTCGACGCGGGAGACTCAGTTACGTTTTGTGTATTTTAATTCTGACAACTTTAGACAGCGGCAAGAAGTTCCCGAAGGTAATTTTGACTGACTGTTCCAAACCGGGACAAAATGAATTCTACGTTCCTTGAACGTCGGTTGTCGAAACTGCCTGTTAATATCGTCGCATTGGCAACCCTGCTTCAGGCTGCAGCATTTAAATTTAAGATCTGTTCTACGTGACCGCAGGGGACACAATGCACGTGTCCTAATATGGCGGTCCGCGTGCCGTACGCCGACCATCTCAGGTCATGCAGCGGCCATTCTGTCTGCCTTTGCCGTCCCCCCATTACAATTTGTGATTCTGATTTCCAAACTCTTTGCTTCGCTGCGAATTCGAAGCGACGCCTTCAGGAAGTCCAGACAAACGAAGAAGGGCCAGAATTGTTGGACACGCCTGTTTCTGGTCTGCGACGATTCTCGTTTGTTCTTCGTGAGATTTTGAAATGTCGGATCTGAAGGAACGTGTCGGGGCCTGAGCCTCGGTCCTCAGGGGCTTCGTCTCTGACCCACCCCTGGGCCGGTCCATTAGTTTAGGTGCTAATTAAGCCCATTTGCACGATACCTGAATGCCACTGCTCCAGGGCGGCCAATCGTACGACGGCGATATCCCACTCGAATTTTCGGGCGTGGGCAAGACCTTTCCATTATGCGCTCACATCGCACGAAAGACTCAAAATGTCAAATTCGTTCTTTCCTGGTTCTGTTTATAAAATTTCGAAACTTTAGACCGACGATAATTCTAAAATTATTTACTATCTGAGGTTTTCCCACAGTCCTTGTTTAAAAGAAAGGAACCACGACGTTTCGGAAACCGGCTCTGTTTCCGTCTTCAGGTGAGAGGTTAGTTGGCTGGTTTCCATCGCTGGACAACTTATGCCATCCAGCTGTCTCAGCCTGTCCACAGCTTGTCAGCAAGAACGTGGTCCAATGAAAATTTTAGGAGCACTCGTAAAACAAACGCAAAGGTAATGAATAATTTCACGTGCAATTCACCACCGTCAGAACCCTTTAGAATTGGATAATTGTAAAGTTTTGAAATCTCTAGTTCAGGAGTTCTATAGTTTCTTTTCCGAATTTGTACCTCGACTGCACACGCACGCACAGACACACACAAATTGCTACTCAAAGGCTTTGTTGTCCGGAAACACCGGATTCGCGTAGCTCGGACTAGGCTCTAATAAAGAACCACCTGTTTCCTCAGATGAAGCCAGATTCATCGACTAGGTGAGCGACTGTTAGCTTCTCAAGAAGAACTCTGAGCTATGGAATTGCTTCGTAATTGAACTATCATAAATTCTTTGGGCGCTGAAATGTTCGGGTGTCGCTGAATTCCCGAAACGTCTGTAAGACGCAACAGAACAGATCACGTTCCTCGCGTGAAGTGCCGAATTTATTCCTGGTATCCGCTATTTCAGGAGACAATAATTAAAAGAAGGTCGTGTCGTTTAAAATCATTCGGTGCGCCTGCTGCTTCGACGTTGTGGTGACACTTGCTAGGAGAAAGCTGTGACGTCAGCAGCGGTAACCCACTTGCGGATAAATCCGACAAATACGACGTCTTGTACCAGACACGAAGCTTTCGAAATGTGTAACAGGCGTCCAGCAGAGCGCCTTGGAAAGCGAGACTGTCATCGGCAGGTCACGGGTGGCAGACAATCCCGCAAGGCAGCTTGTCCTCTTTGAAAAGAGACGGCGGTTGGATGGGAGTTGAGTCACTTGGCTACTTGGCTGTTTCATTACGGACAGCCCCGGCTGGTCTGCTGAGGTGACGTCGATCAGCGTAAGCGCCTTCGAAGGTGCCGACAATGGCCCAGAAGCCGTCTGCAGCCTCTCTGCAATCATCTGTTCCAGGAACCTTTGTGTGTTTCGTTGCTCTCCGGAGAGAACGACTTTGACCATTTGGGCGCGAACCTCAGTGGCCCCGACACGTCTCCGGGTGCCGCGGGGGACGGCTGTGGGTTTGTTTAACGCGGCGGGGTGGGGGTGCAAGTGGACCCCAACGTGAATGCCTTTTGTCCTTCTCAGAGGCCCCATTTTTAATGGGGAGAGGCACCTAGTCGCGTGCGGCTCAGCTTGTTCGCCCGGAAGGCGGTGGATTTGCCTGTCGGCCTACGTAAGGGATGAAATGCGAGCGGTCGGTGGGGCGAGGCGACGGAAGACGTTTCGCTAGCCTCGCAGTACAGGGAAGGCTCTGGCGCTGGAGGAAAGCATCTCATGACGATGGCAGAAACGTTAGCGGAAATTGTAATCAGCGAAGTGAAAAGCAGACGGGATGTGGAACAAACTTGTGGGCAGGGAATGGAGCAATATCGCAGAAAATGTAGGAGAAACAAGTTCGTACTTTTTTTTTCAAATTTAATTTTTTTGTACAAACTGATTACTTTAGAAATAATAAAATACTGCAGTTTCCCGTTCAGTGACGAAGCCGAATTTCTCTCCGACAGGAGATCACGTTTGTCAGACTTCGCTGTCGTGGACACTGACGTTGTCGAACGCGTCTTACGCGCTCCCACGCAGGACAAAACGAGCGATTAGCCACGTGGCAACATTTCACCCAACTGCTCCAGTCGAAGGAGTCCAACGCTCGTCTGAGGTGGCTGGCTCTACGCCCACCTCGGATACCACAGTTTGCTCAACCCGGGGGCAGAGCCGAATTGGCGCCCACCGGACCCTTTAACCTTGTCTATTCCTTTCGACGAGTATGCCCCGTTTCAGCTGTAGAACTGCCGGGCACAGCTCGCCGACGTGGGCCTTCGGAAAGGCCAGTTCCTCGTCACCGGTCATCCAGCTGAGGCAGTCAGGAGCAGCAAAGTCCCTTTGTGATTCAGGTCCCTCAGTTAGCGCAAGCGCATTTCCTGTTTTCATTTTTAAGGCAAGGTTTATCTTTTCCAGCAGTTTGTTTCGTACGCAGGAATGGTCTAACCCAGCAAGGGACGTATCGCCGGTTAGGTTCTGGAGCCCCAAGAAGCTTTGCATAATACGAGGTTACTGTATCGGCATCTCAGCGGGGCCCCAGTACAGGATCAAATGATGCCAGTAGCCGATATGTTTCGTTAGTAATTCGTATCTGTACGTGATTTCACCTACAAATCAATCGAACTAAATCACGGAGACCGTTGTGTGTTATTTGTTGGTTTGTCTTGTGCAGGTGATGGTCTGGTGGTTGCTACTTCTTCCACTGGGCGTCGCCGCACTATGTCGCCCAGGACACCAGTTTTGGGACGAGACGTCAGAGAGATGTGTGAACTGCAGTAAATGCCCAGTCGCTGGACATGTCGTCTTACGACCATGCCAAGTCCATCAGGACACCCAGTGCGGGCCGTTATCAGCACTCGACATCGACTGGTCGTTCCTGAACAGACCGCGCTCCTCGAAAGCCACCAGCGTCTCACGCCATCAGCATTTGTCAGCGAAGCACCACGAAGTGTTCGCCGAAGAGCATTTCAGTGACAGCGCTGTTGCCGAAGATGTACGATCATCTCGCAACCACCCCCAGGGCGAGGGGACGTCGACGCACGTCGTAAAACACAAAGAGAAAAATTCGCATCCAAAATTTGTTTCTTCCGAAGGAATAAAAGCGAGAAACCACAAAAAGTCTCATCATATAAAGTTGTCCACAGAAGAATCGTATTCAGAACATCGAGATGAATCACCCAGACATCACAAACATCACCACTATCACGAGGAACATGCCTCCTCAGAAAGACGTTGCTCAAATCCTAGAAAACTCCGGAATCATAATCAGAACAGAACCAAAAGCCAACAGCACAGCCGACAGAAATGTAAGTGGACGTCTTCAGAGACGGTCCATTCGTTTGACTCTGAGCCGCGCCGCGTGGATGGACGCCGATGGTCGTTCTCCGAGTCAGCGAGTTCAGCTGAGCGTCACGCGTCCTCTTCCAGAAAGTCGAACGACACGATGAAACATCATCATCATCATCACAAGCACACGGACGAACACCGCGAAAAGAAACTTGAAGGCGTCCAGGACGAAGCTGGAGGAATGCCAGTGCGGCGGCCAGAATCCGCCTCTCAGTTAAGAGAGTCCGAGGAGGCCGTTGTCAACTCGTCGCTTGACGGCGGTCTGCTCCCCAGGCGCGTCAGCCAGTCCGTGGTCTCCGCCCCGTTCTCTTCGGCCGAGGAACTGGTCTGGGACTGGCAGGCCGTCGCAATGGCCCTCGCGGTCTTCGCCTGTCTTCTGTTCTTCGCCGTCGCCTGCGTGTACTCGGTCCACCACGCGCGGCAGTGGAGGAGGCTCAAGGACCACTTCGAGGACTTCGAAGCAGGTCAGTCCCGAAACTTACGCAAAGGCAGCGCAGCTGAACGGGGAAGGAGCAGAGACAAGGGGCGAGGAGTGAAGACGACACAGGTTGAGACCAAAGAGTTTTACAGGTCGGGCGGTAAAAACGTCGCCCTGCATGTTTGAGGTGTTCGCTTTAGTGTGGGCACCGAGGAGCATCGTCTTCCCCCGCTGTTGTGTTTCCTGGAGCCTGCGGGGAATTAATGGCGTAGCCCCGCGGTTCGGCGGTCGTAAAGCCTCTCGGTCACGCGGCGCTAATGGCGCTGCTGATGCCTCCGACGTGACCGTTTTGTACGAAGACACTTCCTCCGCCACGCGCCCGCTTCGATCTCCTGTTGTCGTTCCCAGGTTTTCGAACGTGAATATTGGTTCATCTAAGCCTGCAAGACTCTCACGTGTTATTTTCTCTCTGCTAATTTCTCATTAACTTGCTTCTTCCTAACGCACTTCTTTTTCCGGTACAATTAAATTCAGGTTCTAGGCGGATACCAACATTTCTGAGGAACATGCTGTCTCCATCTTTAGGGCTCGATGCTGAAGTCTGAATCAGTTACGTTCCACTGAAACGCTGGTATCTGCTGACGATTTCGCGCGGAGTCTGAGCTCGGAGGCTCTGAGCTTTGGACTCTGTTCAGTCCCAGTATTTGTGATTACAGAGCTTTAAAGAAAGCGCTGCTTCACGTTCTACTAAAGCACAAACCTTATCTAACTTTCAGTCCTCCGGCACACACCGAGTTAGTTAATTTGTAACGAGTAAACGTGGAGGGAGAGCGACGAGCGAGTGGCCGGTCCTCGTGTTGTAAATCACGAGTCACACAGCGCAGGCGCGTCTCTCGGACTAACGGATTCGAATGGAATTTGGCGTGGTCGACTTGGACATTGTTTCTGAACAAAACTTCGGGAGCGTCTGAACAGATCGGTGTAACGTTGGAGTAATAAGCCGTTACATATTTGAAATTGCGACTTGTTAATTAATCTTTTGTTATGTCAGCATTCGCTAATTAAATCAACCGACTTGCAAAGCAAATCCAAGGCAATTCCAGGATTCAGCGCTCGCCAAAATAAAGTTGGTGTCGGAGGTTTCATCCTTAAATCTCCCCGGCAGTGCTCGTTCTGGCTGTCTTCGGCACAGCACAAGAGACACCCCACAGCTGGTCTCGCTTGAGCGACACATTAAAAGTGTGGTTAAAGTCGGACAACTGTTTCTTGGCGAAGTTGCGTTCATAACATCGAAATGCAAGACATCATCTACGAGCAGCCGACATCTTCGGCATTTCAATTGTTTCGCCGTCGGCCTCTTCGCTGTCCACCGGCCAACATCGGTCATTTGTAATTTTAAATGTGTTCTCGACGTCCCACGGCGACGTGACTTGCACGGTGAAAAACGGGAAACGTTGGTTCTTTATTTCCACAACTGAGGATAAGCTCGTAGAAGTCGAAAGTGAGGAAGAACTGGACGGACGGACGGACAAAGAGAAAAGGCAGGAATTACAATCAGCGGATACGGTCAGAATGTGTTTTGTTCTAGACTGAGGACGGTGGCGCCCTCTGTCCGTGATTTTCTGCCGGCACAAAATCCGTGGGACCAGAATCCGGCGCCTCGTGAGCTGTGTCCGGAAATCGGAATAAAGAGGCGATCGGGACGCCTGCATCAACGGGATTCTTTGGCGCATGCGCCGAGACGCAGCGCAGAAGTTTGCCAAGTGACGTAATTACGAAATCCTCTCGGGCCATCGGCCATGTCAAACGAATTTTATTCAGTTCGCGGGGAAAGTTTAAGACGCGACATAATTGAACTCCTTCGCGTGTTTGCGACAAACTGCAGTCGCTCAGCCAATCACGAAATTATCCGCGTCTTACGGAACCAGGAGCACGAGGACGCTCGTGTCATGTTTAGTACAGTCGGTCGACGCCTGGCGTCAAAGTCTGCCTTTGCGATGTTTTGATTGTCCTGCGCTGGGTTAACAACCGAAGCCGTGGACTGAGCGCCGGATGTTCCGTCTTCAAGGCACGTCCTTCCTCATCTCACCTTGAAGGTCCAGCCGGAAGTGACGTAGACTTACTATACGCGTACTACGCCGAACCGCAGCTCCAGCCACGCCTGGTCCTTCCTCGATGCGGGCGAAGGGAACTGAATGATCTTTCAGGCCGTCGGTCGAACCTCGACAAGTTCGCTGGCTTCTGACGTCACATTTCTCGCGATTTTAATTGCACGCGTGCGCAGTGTGACTGATGCACAGGACTTGCCTCTCTGAGGAAAATAATTCAAATAAACATCCTTTTTTTCGTATTATTTTGACATCCAGTTCGAGAATTCCTAATTTCGTAGCCACGCTTCG